CCGTATAGACTGCCATTAATATTCCCACAAAGAACCCGACTACAACATCGCTCCAATGGTGTTTGTTGTCGTTGATTCTAGAAAGCGATATCAGCAGCCCTAAAAATACATACTTCATCTGCAGTTATTGGTACGCACTTCATTTACACACCAGTTGCCAAGAGAGCAGTTTGCGAAATTGGAACAAATACTCGACCCGTTGAATGACGAGGAACTCGAGCTAGCAAGTAGAGCTGTAAAGATTAACATGAATTTGGTTTTTAACATCTGTTCTCGAAAAGACAGTTTTCTAACGTTTTGTAGTCAGTCAACCATGAAGTTTTTCTGGCAGGAAACAAAGTAATCGTTATTGTTTCAGTTTGAATAGCAAGCATATCTAGTTACTTCAATCTAGAATTACTAAGTGAAAGATTCAATTTAACTTTGTTTACGTGAGAATAAGCTTCTTTTAAATGTTCAAATATAAAAGATGTATCACCGTAACATCCTATATATTTGAACATTTATAAGAAACTTACTAACCCATCCTACTAAATTTGCAATTGAGGATCTTTAATGGTGTGTAATTCTTGAGAAAATAATCAAAATTTAAGCATGCGCAAATTGTGGAAATGTAGTACTATTACGAGGTCTTAGTTGTCCAATCTATCTCACAAATTGAAACAGTCGTATCATTCTTTTGCTTCCTCTAGATATTCTATTTGAATTTTCAGTAATAATTAGTGTTGAAGAAAGGTTCAAAAGTATGAATTTCAGTGTCCCAAGAGATACTTCAACTTTAGCAGTTCTCTTCTCAGTAATTATCAATGAAGACTAGAGTCTCGATAGTTGGAGACTAACCGCTATCTCGCCCTTATTGCCTACCGCTAGTGATAAAGGTCGAAAACAACATTGTTGATCAGATGTATTTATGTTTACTACGGATAAACAGATTTAAAGTGAGGGGAGGGGGGGGAGGACCTGAATAATATTTTTCATTAAGTGAAATATCGTAGTAGAAGCAGTTTCAACATTTAACAATTATGATTCGGATAATCATTTGTCATTTCGCGAAGTAGACAGTAAAATGATGGGAAATGCTTACGATATTTGGTTCATTAATCAGGAATTTTGTCTAATGTGCACTTACTGCTGTGAAAGTCGAGGCATACATCGAAATGGAAGAATGTCCACTAAAAAATGACTTTCGTGCTTCTTCTACTCTAAATGGATCCCCTGTGCATGTATAATTGCTGTAGTACCTGAAGCACTGAATTTAAGCCTAAACCATTACTTAGTAGTGTTTATGTAATTAGCTTACTCATTGCCGTGGCAAGTCAGGTTTAATGGTCGGCACACGTCTAAGAAATGAGGCCGAAGTCGTCCAACGCAACATTTTGTAACATTCGTAAGAACAACAACACAAATCAAGCCGATCATTGAGAATCCTAAACTCTTCACTCGGTTGCTTTAACCTGGTCAATAGCAAACTTATTTAGATTACCAATATATTTGAAGATTTGAGCTATTACAAAATGGATATAGGTGTTGCCCACTTTGTATCTCGGAAGAGGAATGGGAACGTGCCTTTTTGCTCTATAGCATTCCGTTGCAATAACCTATAATTTAAAAGA